TTCCTCAATACCTAAGCACATTCATTCTTTATTCATAGTCCCCATTTCTTATACTTGAGCTCTACATTCCCGCCGTATTAAACTTCATTCAAAATTTAAAATTTAACGTATTTACTTATTTAGTGTATCACACTCTATCCGCAATAGTTATGTAATGTTTATTGGCATTTTTATATTTACAACATGATACTCAAAGTCCTAAAGCTATGTCATACCTTTATTATTTGGTGTTAAAAGCGCCGAATTCAGTTAAGCATGCTTGATGCGGTTGATAATCCCGACGCTGGTCGAGCAACTGGAGAAATAATACTGGCCCATTTGGTTGACGGTGCCATGGACCGGCAGCTTCTCTTAGATGGTGAGCTTTCCAGTACCGTAGATAGAGCCAGGCGGCTGGTGGAACTGCTAGAGCTTCTCTGGAAAGAACCGGATGCCGCTGAGTTCATAGGTAAGTGAAAGAAAGATTTGGAGCGTGTAAAGAATGAGTGAGTTATTGAGCAAATAATGCTTCAGCCCTAGTTAAATGCATTGTGAAGGGCTTCTGAGTTTGCAAATATAAGTCATAAGAAGACTAATGTAGAAACTGAGATCGAACCAAAGAATCAGCTTCATATATTTCAACGGGGCCTGCCAACCGGAAACTACAGAAACGAGTAGTCAAATTCGTTTTAAGAGGTTATCACGAGAGATATAAGAATCGGGCATCTTAAGGGTTGTAGTCGAAGTGGAAGAGGCAATGCAAACCTAGGGACTTCAGGATGGGAGAGAGTGAAAAAATTTTTTGGTGGTCAGAATCCTTTTATTCTCCTAAGTGCCAAGATATTCATTACTAGTGGCTTGGAAATGTGTGGCATATTGAAAACCTATGCCGACAAAGAACTGGCTTAGTTTTAGTTCCAGTAACAGAACCAATAGCTTAAGAAAATTTAAGGACAGGTGGTAGGCCGGATGGCTACGAAAACTGTATTTGAGCAACAGATGTTCATTAGTGATTTTCAGACGAAGTTTAGTTAGAATTTGGCGGAATGATTTAGAGATTTATGACATAGATTAATAAGTACTCAGGAAGTCTGAATTGCTTTGGAACTTCTTTGATGAATTGGTTACTTTACATAAAATTCCTAATGAAAAGTTGATTGGAAGGAATTCGTGAAATCTTCTCACCCGAAGTCGCAGGAGGACTGCGGCGCAATGAAGACTATTGGATTGTGCGAATAAGTCCTTGGCTCACCCTCCTGAGACACCTTTTAACCTTTACTAAGTTTAGTCTATAATAAGAAAAGAAAATTAATTGGGTTTTGATGACTCTCCTGAGATAACATTGTTGGGGTGACTTATATTTCGTATGAAGTGCATAAATAAGAGATTCGTAGGTGAATCTCATTAGAAGACGACGGCTGAATCCTGTTATACTGCAGCCGTTTAGCTTAATTACGGCGTTCAGGTTTACGCAGTCCATCAGACATCTCTCCTTGTTTCTGATAAATACGGGCTGAATATTCGTCCATCATATGAAGAAACATTGTCAGAGCTGGAACTCAAAAATGGCCGAACATATGGCAGAAACTGGGCATGAGATAGAATGATCTTAAACTAGTAGGTTTACTGAGTATGGTACGTCTGCTGTTAAAAGAAAGATAGGAGAGGCTATTGAAATTAATAGATTAGGAAATACGTTGAATGTGAGGAACAGTGATAGAAATTTGTGTAGGAACTACTTATGCTTGATTAAGAGATTGAAGTAGAGAGAGGGTGTTCAGCCGCCATCCAATAGAAGGCGACTCAACTTGTCTGCTTACTGATGGTTCTAACTTCATTCACTCGTCCAACATGTTGAATTTAGCTCATCAACCAAACCAGCCGTGCCAAATTACACAGGACTAGTCATGCCTTTCTTTGGGGAGTTACATGTTAATGACCCTAGATTGAGAGATTAGGACAAGTGGCTTTGTAATTTGACTTAAATGCTTACAAACTTACATCTCATTATCTTAACCATACTTGATTACGGACTTACCCAGTCTCGGTCAGGGCTTTCTCTTGGGTTATAAATATTTGATGACCTGAGCCTGGCATTAGCCTTTTGACCACGGTACTAAGTATATATGTTAATACACACACGCATACTCGAGCAAAAGTAGCAGGACCAGTATGAAAGATAATTAGCCAAACCATTCTATATCTATCTAGTTTTTTTAATTTTCTTTTGTTTAATTGAGTCTATATAAGGGATAAGATAGAACCGGATAGTCTTCTGAGTTCCAGCTCTGATGATGTCCATCATCACCCGAAACGATTGAGGATATCTCGTAGAAGGCGTCAACCTGAAAGTAGTATTTAAGCCAAGCGGCTGCAGTACAACGGATATCAGTCGTCGTCTTCTGATGAGATCGGCGTTCAAATCTCTT